AACTATGTGAGGCAAAAGCTTACATTAAACTAGTGAGAAATGGATACATTGTGCTATGCATGTTAATGAGTACAATAACCATCCTACAGAACAGATCTAATGAGCATTGCTGAATAAACATCTCTTTACCTGTTGCGTGCCTCTTTTCATTGGGTGTGGAATTGTTGTTCTGCAACAGATTGGTGTTAAAAGAGGTATTGGAAATTATGGTTCCTAAGCAGTTATTGAAATGAGATCTGAACAATTTTGTTCTTATTCCCTTTCTCTTGCTAACCCCCTTTCTGATCCCAGCTCAGTAAGGAGAATTGTGTAAAAAAGGTAAGTGTGCTGGCTGAGATCCAGAGACACCATCCTTTTCCCAAATTGTGAGAATTAGTGAAGGGAACTTGAGTGAGCAGGTGGGTCCAGCTGAGTTTTTATTCTTTCCAATGAAATGGAGTTGGGTGGCTCTAGATTTTTACAGGAGAATCCAGCCTTATATATGCCAAATATTTATGGATGTCCTAGTGTAAAAATATATATCTAGATGGAATGGATGGACACATAAAAACCCATCCAGGTAATTCCCTTATAAGAATTCTGTTCTTTAAAGGCTTTTTGGAATATAGGAAAATAGATAAAGGCATGTGGGGATGATATTATTTGTGGGAAGGGAAAACGTGCAAAAGTAAACAAAGGTTTCAGATAAGGAGACTGCAGGAACTAACAAGAAATTAAAGAAAGAGGTAGTTGAAACAAAGATTGTTTAACTCCAGCTGCATCTCCTCCAGTGCTACCAACATACGTATACCCACAATTATCCACTGGTGGGATGATCTGATGCAGTGTTGCAGGCAGTGTAACATCATGTAGTTCATGAGTTGCGCTGGCTTCCAGGTGCAATTCAAGGTTCTGGTTATTGCCTATAAAGCTGCACATAGGATAGGGCCAGGTTTCCTGCAAGACTGCAATAGTATCTGCCTGTCTCAGATGCTGTAACAGAGTGGACATGCTTTGGGTCCTTTGTCTAAAGCGATGCCATCTGACAGGACCTAGGAAATGTGCCTTTTCCATTGCAGCATCTGCTGTATGGAATGATCATCTCCCCTTCCCCGATATACAGTTGGCCTTGATCCTCTGGGTCTGTAGAAGGGCATTAAGCACTTGACCCTTTCCTTAGGCATTGGGTCTTGGATGATGGCTGTTCCTGTCTGGAAACACGTGGTACGTGCTATGGATCCCTGATTGCCTACTGGCTGGGATTTGAATTAAAATAGTTCAGATACGTATGTATGTATGTATGTATGTATTTGTTTACTTTATGCTGCCCAGAGTTGCACTGTTTAAGTTGGATGGCCATATAAGTTTCTTCAATAAAATAAATAAAGCTATTTGATTCAGATCAGGTAGCTTGCCTTAAATGTAGCAGTTACTGGCCAATGTAAGCCCTGCAACCTGGGGACCTTGCACAACTTTGTGTCAATGTCTTAAATGCCTTTGGTGGGATGTTACCTGTATGTTCTAATTGGGTTAAAATTAGCACTTGTAAACAACCTATTGAAACTATCCAAGAATATTACAAACAGCTTTTAAAAGTGTTCAAACAACATTCTGGCATTCCAGCACCATTACAAATGGCCCCACAGTTTGTTAAGGCTACCTGCTGTAAATTGTTTCTTTCTGGAAGTTTCCACTCAAACTAAACTCATCAAAGGTAATTGGGAAGCCCAAACTACTGAAAGCTGCTAGACAATTAGAAACAAACAATAATAAGTCATTAGATACACAGCTGGAATAGTGGACTGGACTCAAGCAGAACTAGAAGCCCTGGAT